GTGTATGTAGGTTTGTATGAATATATGTGTATGTAACTATGTATGTGTGAGCTGTGTGTAAATAGGCTTCAGAAATGCACATATCAATATATTCAACTCACAAAGAGCTGTTGATCTTAATTCTAGTCACAAACTACATACATTCTTGTTGTGAAGGGCACAGCTCTCTTTGGCAATCACTATGCTCTAAATCTTTCAAACTAACAATTAACTTAAACATGAGCATTCCTGGGAAAATAATACATTACCTCATTATGAATAATTGAATGCAAAACATCCGCCTCTGTTTTTGCACTTCATTTGATTCTCATTTTGAGTACTTCATTTTTCCTTGGTGTATCTTTCATTTTGCTTGTCTTTTCTGCACATTTCCGTCACGACTATTGGTTAAATATCACTTTTCAATTCACACAATCCACTTGTCTCTTCAATAAGCGGTGATTTTACAGATAAATACCTTAATTCACGATTTACGATACCTCAGGTGCGATCAGAGTGAAATGTTGTAATATTTACGTTCACTTCATAGAGCACAGTATGAGAAGTTACATACAGAATTCGATTTCTTTATGTTGGTTTAGTACTGGATAAAATCTTTTTAGGTTCTACTCGATACTTTCGGTTTCCAGTCTAGACAACTTTGCGATGCTCTTTTGTTTCACAGGTTACCGCTTACAACGTAGTTCTCACGTCTATACCCTGACAGGACGTGCAGACGAATTTCTGCTTAAACTCATTCCTATGATTAACATGATGTGCACATTTAATTTACACCAAAAAGCCACATGTAAGGTCTTCATAAAAATAAAAAATCACGGGTGACTTCCGATGACACATGTTAGAAATTATGTCACTGCGCTTGTGCATGTGATAATCAATAAGTAAATCCAGACCATCACCTGACACTTTATTGTTGTCTGAAATTCGAGGGTTTAGCCAATATGTGTTTATTTTCATAATGACTTTATACAATTAATGTTATTGTTGCGGTTAATGTTATGCAAGATTCATTGTGATATTTGTAGATTGGAAACGAATAATAAAATTGTTTATAAATGATTATAACATTTTGTTATCGTAATATTATATTTATCAAGGCTTTTGTCTATGTATAATTTATTATAGTCATTATGACAAATTTGCCTCCCTAATGATAGTTTGTAATCATAAAGAAATTTTGAAGTTTGTGTGTGTGTGTGTGTGTGTGTGTGTGTGTGTGTGTGTGTGTGTGTGTGTGTGTGTGTGTGTGTGTGTGTGTGTGTGGTGTGTGTGTGTGTGCATAATTTGAGGGTTACTTTTTTTTTTTGCTTCACTGTCTATGTAATTTGCTTTCTAACCATATCCTTACCGGGATAAAAATATTTTCTCGTCTTTCCTTGATTATTCTCGTTAAGCTGCTATATTTTTTCTTTTCACGAATTTCTGGGTTCTCAAAAATTAGTGATGCTGTTTACTCGCTTTATATGATAGGTTGTGAACTGCTTTGGTAATTTTACAGCCCCATGGTCAGTTCACCAAGTGTATCGTCTAAAACTTTTTTTTTTCACTTCATGCTATTTAGTTTGAAACGTGACACACCAATTTTATTTATGCGTCGGCAATCTGCCAATGAAGCTGATGAGCAAATCATCTCATTAATCATGGTGTATTTCTGGTCTCATGTGACTCATGAGGGAATTCCACGTCTACGTATTGCATGTAAGCAACTATGCTTTAGGTATTAATTATGAATAGTGACATCATAATTGCATTTTATGAAAAATTGTATCCAGAAATTATTGAATGTCTGTTCTGCCCATTCAAACGATTAGGTCCCGTTGAAAAAAGTGGTCTGAGCTTGGCAAAGAAAATGCATTTTTTTTCTATAGTTTTCCCGACTCCAAGCCCCACGATAAAAATAGACAGTCATATAAAAGAATCGTTATTTCGTCTCTAATTTCACCTATACAGATTCTAAAGACAAATCTCACCTCTGGGCTAGCAGCCGTTTTCAGGATTTTTTTTGGGGGGTGGGTGGGGGTGGGGAGGGGGTTGTGAGAGAATCTTTCCATTATATCAAAATACTCGGAAAGATATGGCCAGCTAAGGTAATTTTTGTTTACATTTGACATATACATACATATACAATGTATTATTACCGCTTTCGAGATAACGACCTATGGAGAGAAAACTGCATTCTAATCTCTTTGGAAATTATTCTCATATTTTCTTTGAGAATATGATGACAACAAAACAGGCTTGTTTCACAGGCACTGCATGATTGATTGAGTAATAGCTCACTACAGCAGCCACTATTAAGAAATTTCTTTTATGGAGCAGTTCCCTTCGATGCAGGTGCTTGCTTCCACTTGCTGAAGTATCAGAGGTGAGAGCATTGCACCATCGCCCACTCAAGGAGGAACATTCTACAGGAAATCAACTGCTGTGGACAGAGGTGTAAAGATATACCATCTGCCCTGTTGGGTATTGTTTATATCGAAGGTCTCCACTACCAGGGCGATGCCCCTGAGATATTCCTCTCGGCCTTTTTCCTATCCTCGAGATTTTTACCGTTGATTCAGATTATTCTGCGCAAAATTGAGAAGTCGTGTGTGTCTGTTGTACTTGTGGTCAGGGAAAGTCATACAGTCGCTAGAGTTCTTCTTGGGAGAAAGTGTTGAAAATGTAAATAAATGCTGGCGATTCCCATATTTCTCGTTTAAGCACATTGGACATTTCTCGGTGGGGCCATGATAGGCCTATGTTTATTCTCCGACGGTTTGTGAACATGCTTGTTCATTTTAATTTTTTGGAAGGCTGTATGCCACGTCTAAAGGACATTATTGCATTTTAGTTATCACAACTTTTATCATCGGTCTGCCATTGCCAATGTCGTCAGTAATTGACAACCTGTCTAGTAAATTTTCAGGAGAGGTGGAGGCCAAACAATTTCATTTTGATCGACGAATTGGTAATAAGTGATTAAATGATAATGGCTTAATAGGACTAATATATAAATAAATTCATAGATAAGTTTAAAAAGTGAACAATTTTGAAGCCGGAAAAAATATAAGAACTGTGATGATATAAGCTAACTCTTTGCTTGTCGTCCCGGAATTTAAAGCATTTAAGGGACATGTTTAGAAATATGCTTAATCTTAAGTTTTTCTATTTTTTTTCTCTTTTTTTTCAGGGAGCATACGGTATAATAATTCTTCGTAACATTTACGTACCTTGTTTCATTCCTATAATAGGATTGATTTTACTTAGCCATGGAACTGTACTTAGGTTGCTTTGCGGTCAGAGGTTAGAATATTCATAGCCATTTCATAAATTAATTTCTTTTTTTATGTATTGTCTCATGTATTATTTGTTTATATAAAATAAATGGTTGATAATTACTCTTTACCCTCGCAAATAAAATAAAGATTGAAATAAGGCTATATCACCGTAGGCTATTTCGCCAGTGGACATTTTTAACATTCAAGAGAAAAAGGAATGGACAATGAGACAGATAGACAGATAGACAGAACTTGATACTGGGTAGTGAGTGAATGGAAAATAAATAGTGAGAATATATAAAAAAAATATATGATAATTTAGGAGTGGAGAGAGGAAAGGGTCACAAAGGATAAAGGCTCAGAGGCAGAGGAAAATAAGGAGATCTCGAGATCTGCGTTTTTAATATGAAAAGCACACAAAATTGATCAATCAACCTCTATATCCACTGTCACCTAATAATTTAAAATTGATTGGTAAATAAATAAATACGCCAGTAACTCTTTAAAAAGACACATGCACACGAGATCAATGAACCTTATAACAACTCTTAAACAAACATTAAAAAGTATATATAAATTCCCTGAAACGTAAATAATTTTAGGCCCGTGGTCGCCGAGACGCCGCGGCAGCTGATCACAAGACAAGTGTTGACTCCGGTGCTTGTCGGTTGGACTGTGATTACCTGGGACGCATTTCTTATCTCACATGGATTCCAAGGGCTATGTTACTTCAGTCCCAGGTGGTGATAGCTTCCTTGGAGATTCGGTGAGTCGATTTGGATGTGTATTTACGTTGTTCAGAGCTTGGAAATTAGGAAAAAGGATATGTATAATGGTGAGGTTTGGAATTTGATATCTAATCAAGTTTTTTTTTTCTTTATGGTTCTGTGGGAGGATTCGTATTACTTGGCAATAGTCTTGTTTTAGTTGACTGTTTCGGATGAATCATATCAGTGCATTCAAACGATAAATTAACTTTAGTTTTAATTCTTTCATGTTTCTTTTCTTCATTCATCCAAAACAATAATTTTTGCTTCAATTTTTACCTTTAGTTGGATCATAATGGCTGGTCTGTCGCCCAGGCCTGAAATTCTTCAAGTGTTTAAGGAAAAAGATGTTAAATGACAATGTGACACCACCATTGACGTTTAAAACAATTGTTTTCTTAATTATAAAGTCTCTTTGTGTTCTAACCAAATCCACTTGATAATCACAGTAATCTGTGATAGAAGGCCTACAGACTAAAATTCATCCTACCAGAGTCAAGTGATTGCTACAAGCTCTGTACTTTTAAAGCTCCGACAAAGGCCAACAAACCTCCATCAGGTATATTCTGTCAAAACAGAGGTTGAACTGTTCCTTTGTTTAATGATATATTGCCAGGAAATTCTACAAGGCATAAGTTGAAGACACCGTCGCGCGTAGATAGAGGGAAATGGACACCGCCATCTTATAAAGCGGAAGAAATAGTGGGATACAACATAGTCTAAGCTGCAGCGGCCTTATTGTCACCAATAAATGACGAAAATATATGGAATAGTTTTAGTTCTACTTCGCCATTAGTTAGAAGGAAAATTTTTCCTTTAGTGGACTTAATAAATGAAGATAAGAAACTTTTCTTCTTTGCGTTTACCTTCGCACCTTGATAATAACAAAGTTATGACGTATGTGAGAGATAAAAAAAATCTCAACATTTAAAAAATCGCCTCTCGATATCAGTATATGTAAACAAATAAATACGCAAAACAATCGGCTTTTCTTAAACAATAGCCACAGGTTGACAGCTCACGGTGCACTTTCAAGTTCGGGCATGCCAAGTCACAGCAACTTGAATTGATGTATTAGGCTGGTTTATTGGTCAATACATTTTTTGGTGGGTTTGGAATGTGAATTCCCGTAGAGTTTTGACAAAAGGTGGGTTAACTTCCCGTAGAGTTTCAATTCTGGCGGGTCAGCCCGTAGATTTTCAGATGGTGGTTACAGCTGTAGAATTTGATTGGCTGGTTTTAAGCATTTTTGTGCTAGTTTTACACATTTTTAATTGTTAGTCTTCTTGTTTAAGCCTGTTTTATCCCTTAATTTCCCTGATATACTTCATGCCCTCCCCTGCTAACGGGACTATCAAATTAAGATTGTCGATGGAGAAATAGCACTCGATCTGCAGAATGATTCATTTGCAGAAGAAACTGCCGAAAATTGATGAAATCATTGGATTTCCTGCAGAAAAACATATATTTTTTTTATTTAGTCTCTGAGCCAGGTAACAAATACCTTATACAAGCTCTGTCAGAATGATAGAAAGCTTTATGAATGATGCATAGACCAAGAGGTCTGTGCATACAGGTGACTTAAATATTTATGAAAATGAATCTTGCTCTTTTATTAAATGATTTTCAGAATCTTTCGCCTGTAAGTGATGCACAGCAGCATATTGAGACAGATTTTCAAAAATTGCCTTAAAGCAGAATAGTCATATGGGGATAAGATGCCCATACTGCTAAGTTTGTTAACCCACCCGCGCCGGGGTACATTTTGTAGCCAAAATTAAAAAAATCCGGGCAGCTACAAAACTGCACTTGGAAGATAATTTTCCATCTCAAATGCACTCCTTCAGCAATAAGATGTATTCTTTGGATATTGAATAACAGCAACAAACATTGGTCCTTGCTCTCTTGCAGCCATCAAGTACCTTCACAAGGAAAAAACTTTTTGATCCCTAATTTTCTGCATGCGTTGCTGCTTTTGCCCTTGTGCCTCCCAAGAAATGACCCAAGCTGGGCTCTAACGGTTGTTTGGTAGTTTCCTCAATCATGTATCTATACCACAAGTTAGCCAACTTCAAATGACACCCCCCTCCCCTGTGCCAAGGAAGGCCCCTTAACTCTAATGCAATTTTTAGTGCACCATGAAAAATGTAGTAAAACCCAGTGTGTCAAGACAATTCTTTTGACTGGGCTACAACCAAATCTTGGCCATCTAGACACCTGATATACAGAGTTGAGTTACTGATATTCTTGTGAGCAGTAACCTCCTGAAACCATTGATGTATTATTATATTTTCCCTACAGGGTCCTGTTGAGGGATCACTTCTAGCAGCTGTGTTACCGTATGTGATTATGATTGTACTTCTCCCAATTGGCTCCTTCTTTTTTGTTAAAAACTTCATTTTAGAAGGTAAGTTTTTTACATTTTGTTTTTAGGCTATTGTTATTATAATTGTCATTATTAATGTGATAGTTTTATTATCATTATTATTATCATTATTGTTATTAATGTAGTAGTTTTATTATTATTATTATTATTATTATTATTATTTTTTTTTTGACATTATAATTATTATTATTATTATTATTATTATAATTATATATAATTATTCTTTATAATTATCATATTATTGTTATCATTAAGATTATTATCATTATTAATGTCATTACTATTGTTATACTTTTACTCTTACTGTTTCTATTGTTGTTTTCATTATCTTTTTAATTTTCATTTCATATATATATATATATATATTATATATATATAATATATATATATATATATATATATATATATATATATAGGTAGATATAATTATACATATATTTTTTTTCTTTTGTGATAATGATATTGATATTAATATATTTTTTAAATTATTATTCATTAGTATTGTTTGTTTTATCAAAAAGATTATGGTATTGTTAGAAGTTGCACTATATTTTGGGTGGATTTGTTCAATATACATTGTTCATGTAAATGTTTATTTTGTATTTCAGACATTCTTGCATACGACGACACCACTGCCAACGTTTACAGCGCCGTCTGTGCTGTGGTTCTGCTTCACATCCTCCTAGCTCTCTTTATTTTCAAAGCCTTTAAGGACTCGCCTGTTAAAGGCAGCAAACAGGATTAATTTTGGGGACGGTAAGTTAGTTATGTGCATATGTGCGGTGTATGCCTGCGTATGCGTGTGCGGGTATGATGCCCGTGCTCCTGCCGGGTGCCGTGTGTGCGGGTATGCCTGCGTGTGTGCGGGTATGCCTGCGTGTGTGCGGTATGCCTGTGTGTGCGGGTATGCCTGCCGGTAGGGGTATGCCTGCGCCATTGCTGTGTGTCGGTGTATGCTCGTGGCGTATGCGGTGTGTTGTGTGCGCGGTATGCTGTGGGTAGCGGTCGTGTATGTGTATGCTCTGTGGTATGCGTGTGTGTGTATGCTCGTGGGTATGCGTGTGTGTGTATTGCTCGTGTAATGCGT